CCTCAATTTGCTAGAAAGGCATTATCCTGACGATTAAAAAACAAAGTGTGTCTTTTTAATTAAAAACCGCTAAATGATAAAAATGGGTGTGTGTGTTTGGTCAAATAAAGCCTTACTTTGTCCCATTCCATGCCTTCAACATCGACCAGAATGCGCATCAACTCGGGAATAGCCATCGAAGGGTGAGTATCGTTCAGCTGAATGGCTACCTTCTCGTGAAGGCGGTCGAGCGAACGGGTGCCCTGGTTTGTGACTCGGTACCTTCGAATGATATCCTGTAAAGAAAGACCTTCCATGAGGGTTGAGCAATAAACTGTTAATAAAATAGTCCCGAAACTCTAAATCAAAATATCCTCCAAGAACAGATTAAAAATGCATTCTTAACTTGGAACGCGCAAGCACTTTCAAATATCCTCCCATACGAGTGTAGCAAAAACATGGCAAACGTACTTGGAGGGTGGCTGCAACCAAGAAATATTCTTGCTTCAGTCGTAACTCCTTGCCTTGGAAGAAGTTGTCATTTGGATACAGCACACGCGAGATGTTTTCGGCATTGTTTCGGCCACAGACAGCCTAGAGTTTTGATGACAAAAGAGTTAAGGAGAGACCGCTTAGACTACGGAACAAGTAAGGGGTCGCATTTAGGTTAAAGCAAAACGGAAAATCGGGATGTAAGTAGTGTCCGTTTCCTAGACAAAATATCCAACAGGAGATATAGCGGCAACACGTGTATAGCCCTAACACTAAACACCCCAGCTATCGAAATCGGTCCATTATACTCAAATCAACTGGGTACTCCTGATAACTCTGAGGGATAAAGCTCGCCTTTGGTAAATCAAGCTAATTTTAAAGAGCTGATCATGTAGATTTAACTCACGAACGGAATAAGTGGACAACAACCGTCTTTGCCACAAAGGTCATTGCATCGAGGATGGTTCAAATGGTTCTTTTGAGAATTTTAATATAAGTGTAAAAGTGAGTGTCTGTCCTCGACTATCGGACATACACTCTGTCAAAAGAAAGTACCAGACTGATATAGTTTTCATGATCCCTGGGGGGGTATCTATATATTCCACTAATTAATAACAGCAGACTAGGTAAGACCGGTTATCTACAAAAATGGAAATGATTGACAACCTAGGAACAACTTCACAGTTTGTCCTTGCCTATTCGCAGGTCTTTTATAAAACATGCTGAAAGCATTTGCTAGATATTTTCATCTATTCTAGTGACTGGATACATTTCATAACCCAAAATGAATTACTAATTTTCAAATATTTATACTAGATTCGTGTGCACAATAAGTGTACATTTCTCACTTTTAACCTTTGTAAGTGTTTTCACTATAAAGTCATAGTTTTAAGGGCAATTTTGCAAAGATTGCTCTGGAATAACAATTAAATGTTTTATAATGATAGTTTAAGGTACATTTGGAGTTTGAACATAAAATAATCAACTCTAAGTTGAGGGGTAGAGGGGCCTCAAATATCGACGGGTAGTTGTAGTTCCTAACTCCGCGAGGTCGACTTTAGTAATTTATGCATACATGATTAGGCAGAAGAGGTCGCAAACAAATTAAGTAACGCTTGCCATGGCATAAAAATCGACGTTCTGAGAAAAGTAAACAAAGCCACTTACATTGATATATTCACCGGTATTGAAAATTTGTAGGTCAAAACCGCTGGGTGCCTTCGCAGACCATAAACGCAACGTATTGCACGTGTTGTTTCGGTAGCCAGGTACGGGGGTATCGTAGGGCATCGCGAATACCGGCTGCGCATCAACCCATCGTCGTCGACCATTTCCGGCGTCTTCAACACGACCGTAGAAGTTGACAGGATAACTGTACTCAGGGCGACCCTTCTCCCATGGGTTACCGTAGCGCAGCCATTCGTCGGGTTCCTCGACCTTTTACGTGTCAAAGGAAAAAGTAAAATTAAAGAAAGAAAAGTCTGTCTAAAATTACCCTTTGTAAACCGAAAGATGAGTCCCTGAGAAGTGGCGGCATGAGAAGACTTTTACTTCAATACACAAAAATTCCAAAAGTTACACCTCGTTAGACGGTTCCACTGCCTTCAGGCACTGGCCAATCGTTTGTGGCTAACCAAGATGAAAAGCGTGCGCGTACGAGTCTATTTTAGCTAACTCACCGTTAGCCATCGTCGATTCTCATAAAAGGAAGTAATAAGACTGAAACA